TCTCTCACACACAAACACGCACTCTGTCTGTCTGTCTCTCTAGACGCGTTTCGAGCTCCAGAGTCACCAAATGGGACTCGAACTGACCGCGTGACCCCTCCAATGGATCCCTCTTTCGGAGAGCAAGCCATTGATGGGGTCACTCACTCAGTTTGAGTCCCGTTTAGCGACTCTGGAGCTCAAAACGCATCTAGAGTTTTGGCTGCCTCCACACTGTGCGCCGGCAACTGCCGTAAGTGCCGCAGCTCTGCGGGACACGCCCGCCTACGCCGCGATCACGTGCAAGGCACGTCTTGTTCGGGCAGCGCACCCGTATCGCACACCCACTACTGTGCAAGCCGAGCCAAGCCGGGCCTATGGCAGCCTATGGCAGCCTGTGCCCCGCCTGGCCGAGCCGTGGTGGGTCTGCACTTGGGCCTGCAGGCACAGCCGAACGGCCGACCCTGCCCCCACCTCCACCTAGCACACACACACACACACACACGCACACACACACAGGCCGGAGCTCTGCAACGTGTCTGTGTGTGCGTGAGGCCAATGACACCGTGTTGTCGCGCTGGGCCCTTCCGATCTTCCTCGGATGGCGCCGCCGCGCCGCCTTTCGACTTTGCAGTGCAGGACCGACCGGGCGCGCCGCCGCATTATTTGCCCCCAAAATAAAAGAAGAAAAATTAAAATTTGAAAGCGACGGCCCTTTGAGCGAGCAGCGTGTTCCAACAGAGGGCACGGTGGCCTCCTTATCGGACCAGCAGCCGTCGTCGGTCGGTCTCGCTCGCACTCCTGGGGCGTCCCTTCCCGGTGCGAGAGAGACGGAGCGACGGGATGGGAGTCTTCGGAATCTTCCAAAGGGACCGTCGGCAAGGTCCTCGAGGGCACCTTCCGACGCGGAGCAGCCCGACGCTGCGCACTCACACAGTGACAGGCTGCGGACTGATTCCGAGAGTCGGTTCCATCGCTCTGTCTGGCTCGCATGGGGCGGGGCGTCCCCTACTGGTGGAATCCCCGACGAGCTTTGAGCTCCAGAGCCGCTAAATGGGACTCGAACCGAAACGTGTGACCCCACCAATGGATTGCTCTCCGAACGAGGAATCCATTGGTGGGGTCACACGTTCACCGAATCGGTTTCCCCTCGAAGTAAAGGCAGCAAGTGCTACTCGCTACTCCCCCCTCACAATGCCGCGTCTGGATCCACCACTGCCTCGGCACCGGCCAGGCGGCGACGGTCCGGGACGGTCCACAGTGGGCCAGAAGACCGGTGGAGGCGGCCAAAACTCTCGACGCGTTTTGAGCTCCAGAGTCGCTGAATGGGACTGAACCGGACGTGTGACCCCACCAATGGATTGCTCTCCGAACGAGGAATCCATTGGTGGGGTCACACGTTCGGTTCGAGTCCTGTTTAGCGACTCTGAAGCTCAAAACGCGTCGAGAGTTTTGGCCGCCTCCACCGGTCTTCTGGCCCACTGTGCGGTCCGGGACGGTCCGGGACGCGGACACGGATACGTCGGCTTTTCACACCGCGACGACGGACGTGGCGCGGACGTGGCACGGACGTGGCTCGTGGCGGTTCTAACTGGGAACCTTCGCGACGGAACGGAAGACGGCGGCCTCGCGCCGTTCGCGCCACCCATGCGGGACGCAGCGCGGCGCCCCGCGAGTGCGAGAGAGATAGAGCGACGACAACAACGTCCTAGGGGAACGACTTGTAAGTTTACGAAACTATTGTTTCTGATTCCATTTCCATCGTCACTCTGCGATTAGTTTTAAGAGTGTGATTACGCACGTCGTTTTCGTCTCTGTCTCTGTCGCACTCGTAGCGCCCCGCGATGGGTGCGAGAGAGACAGAGCGACGGGCGACGCGCTATCAGCACCTAGCCGGGAGGGCGCCGCACCGCCGCACCGCGCCGCACGCGGAGCGCGCACGGCCACAATCCTTTCCGTGTCTAGGCCAGATAAGACAAGCGAGACGTCCAACCCGACCTTCCTTTGAGTCATAGAGTGCTCTAGAGAGGGATGTGTGCTCCCGTCAAGGTCAACACATCGGCTGCGCCTCGGGCCGAGCGCAGCAGCAGCAACAACAACGAGCAACAAGCCCATAAGGTTCCGTGACCACCGGTCGCTGAAAAATTAAAAGCAAAGCTGACCTAACCTGACGGGACCTGCAGACTGATTCCGAGAGTCGTTTTCGTCGCAGTGTCTCTCTCGCACTCATGGGGCGTCCTGTATGGATGTGAGGGAGACAGAGCGACGAAAACGACCCTCGGAATCAGTCTGCTGGCGGGACCTGTTTAGTGTTTACACCGCTACCGCGGCACGCCGCCGGCAAGGCGGCACGCTCCGCCTCGCCCCGCCGCCCACTGCCTTGTTTTCCCAGTGTGGCACCGGCGAACCTGCCGCCGGATGCCGAAGGACCGTTTCGTCGCTCTGTCTCTCTCGCACTCATGGGGCGTCCCATTCGGGAGCGAGAGAGACGGAGCCACGAAAACGGTTCGTCGGACTCTGGCGGCTGAGCGGCGAGCGACGCACAAGATTTCCCGCCGCCGGCCGCCGGGCTGCATTCGCGCGGGAAAACTTTGCCGCCACCCGCTAGCCCCGTCTGTCCGTCCTTGTCGCTCTGGCGGCGTGCGCGGCGGTGCGAGAGAGACGGACGACAGGTGGCGCCGTGGCGAGAAAACACACTGACGCCGCACGACGCACGCGCTGCCAGGCACTACGGCGGACTCTGCGGGCACCACAACAACAACAATGTTTTCGCCACGCGACCGCCTGCGCCTTTCGGCACTTGAACGTCATACCGACGCAATCTCTGTGACTCTGACGACTCATTCCGAGAGTCGTTTTCGTCGCTCCGTCTCTCTCGCCCGTATACCGGGACGGCCCATGAGTGCGAGAGAGACAGAGCGACGAAAACGACTCTGGGAATCAGTCTGCGACGTAGGTGCGGGGGCGGATAGGGTCGCGAAGTGTCGGAGTGGGTCCAGCCCGACGCAGTGGCGCATCCACCGTCGGCGCCCACACCGGCATATACACGTCCATTGTGGTCTAGCCTCTCAAGGCACGTCTAGGGGCCGGGGCCCCGGGGGGGGGGGGGGGGGGGGGTAGTAGCACCTCACAGAGGCAAGGGGTGCTTTTCACCCACCTTTCAGACATATAATTGAGGGTCAAGGAAAGGGCAACTGTACTACTCCCCCCCCCTCTTTTCCCTCTGGATCCACGCTTGGTCAGGTGATGTGGACTGGACAACAGAAATCGTTCGTGCGCTCCGTTCCCTCTGGCAACGAGTCGACCCCTGTGAGTACACTGAAAACTTCAGTGAGCATATTGAGTATACACATGGAGCACTAAAGTGTGTATAAAGAGTACGCACATAGAGCACTTAATAGTGCACCGAGTACATCAAACTGAATTTTTCAGTTCGGCTACTGTAGTAGAGCCCCCACAGTGGGCCTGAAGACCGGTGGAGGCGGCCAAAACTCTAGACGCGTTTTGAGCTCCAGAGTCGCTAAATGGGACTCGAACCGAACGTGTGACCCCACCAATGGATTGCTCTCCGAACGAGGAATCCATTGGTGGGGTCACGTTCGATTCGAGTCCTGTTTAGCGACTCTGGAGCTCAAAACGCGTCTAGAGTTTTGGCCGCCTCCACCGGTCTTCTGGCCCACTGTGGCCCCCTAGCTCCCCTCAGGCTGGCTCTGGATCCGCCACAGGCTTCGTTCGCGCGGAATGGGAGCCACAGCTGACGAACAGCCGTCCAGTCATGCAGTCATGTCAAAGTGCGGATGGCCCTCCGCGACGGGCACCGCGTCATTCCTCGCAGCTTCGTCGCTCTGTCTCTCTCCCACCCCTCCGGGAACGCTCCGTGAGTGCGAGAGAGGCAGAGCGACGAGAGCGACTTCTGTTCGGAATCGGCCTGATGATGCACGCGACGCGACGTTGCGCTGTGGCGCCGGGCCGTGCGCCTCGTCAGCAGGCTCCTCTCTCTCTCTCTCTCTCTCTCTCTCTCTCTCTCTCTCTCTCTCTCTCTCACTCTCTCTCTCTCTCTTTCTCTCTCTGTCGCACCCTTACGGGACGCCCCACGAGTGCGAGAGAGAGGGAGCGACAGCGCTCGGGCTGCGTGGAAATGACGTGCCAAACAATGCTCATGAAGCGAGCGTGGCCAGTGCGCACTGCGTCCGACCGGACCGACCGCCTGGCGTGACGCGCGCCGCACAATGGGCCAGAAGACCGGCGGAGGCGGTCAAAATCAAAATCCCGGACGCGTTTTGAGCTCCAGATTCGCTAAATGGGACACGGACCGAACGTGTGATCCCACTAATGGATTGCTCTCAGAACGAGGAATCCATTGCAGCCTGAGCCTCCAGTGTAGGCGCAGCGCGGCCCGGAGGCGAACGCCCGGGCAGTAGGCAACACGTGGAGGTTCAGGACGCGCGTGCCTTGCGTGGTGGCCTATCCCGCCGCTCGCAGGCGGTCCGGAGGCAGACCGCCCGGCTGCACAGTGTGGCAGAAGGCCGTTGGGGGCGGTCACAATCCCGGACGCGTTTTCAGCTCCAGAGTCACTAAATGGAACTCGAACCGAACGTGTGACCCCACCAATGGATTGCTCCTCCGAAAGGGAAATCGTTTGGTGGGGGTCACATACGCTCAGTTAGAGTCCTGCTTAGCGGACTCTGAAGCTCAAAACGCGTCCAGAGTTTTGGCCGACGGCCGACGGCGCTGGCCTTCTGGCCCACTAGGCGACGACCCCCACATGAGTTTAAGTTTCGGTACAGCGGAGTCCGTTTCCCTCGCAGGGCCAGGAGAGGGGCGGGGGGGGGGGGCTCTCCCTTCCCTCTTTCCCCCAAGGCGGCGAACCGGCCTGAAGGAAAGGCAAAAAGTGGCACTTTGCCCTTGTAAAGGGCGAAATTTTCGCCACACTCTCCCCCCGCCCCCATTTGAACCCGTCCTTACGCAGATGAGCCAACCGGAAGAACGCGTTGGACTTGATTAAAGTTTATGGGACTCACCAAAAACGAGCTCGATTCCGACGCGCGCCCTTTCTTGTTTAAACCTTCAAATCCTGGCGTGGTCCCTCTTAGCAGTCCGCACGTTGTTTTGAGTACACTGTAAGTTTGTTTCTTTCGTTCACTTTGTTCAGTTCACTGCAGTTTGTTTCGCGCACTCTGAGTTTGTTCGGTACACTGTAAGTTTGTTTGGCGGCACACCGTAAAGTGGCACGACGGTCCCGGACGCACGGTGTCGATCGTCCAAACCGGCACACTCTCTCAGAAGGAAACGACGCGAGCGAAACGCTAACGCAGTGCACCGGGTGCAGCAGAACGCGGTGGCGGCCGAGAAGGCTCTCCTCTGGCTTGGAAGGGGTTCCGTCTGCTTGGCGCGCTTGGCGGTGGATTGGTCACTGACTGGCTTGCTTGACGCCGCTTGACGCGCCTCTCCCCGTGTGGTGGCCCCCCCCCCCACGTGTTTTCCCTTTGCCTTCTTGTTTACTAAATTCGAGGAGGCGGCACGACGGCGCGTGGCGCAGCGGCGCACCGCCGCATGGCACCGCCGCATGGAGAGCGGAGCGCGCGGAGCGGCCGGCCAAGCGCCAAGCGCCAAGCCCGGCCAAGCCGCCAAACGACACGTGGATAGGTTTGGCAGATCGTCGCGCGTCAACAACACTGCGCGCTCTGCGCCGATGCGCGTCCACTCACTCACACACGCGCACACACACTCACACCGACAGGGCCGCCGGAAGTACTTTCTGGTGGGGGGGCGAAATTTTTATGAAAAATTGTTGGGTTGCCTACCGTTAAGGGGCAACACCCAATACGGTTGAGACTTCTCTAAAAGTGTTCCAAATCCAGCGAGCGAAGCGAGCTTAAAGCGAAAATTCATACAATTCTAGACTTAAACACAACTTTTGCCATTTTTAGAGCAGAATCACACGCTTTATTGGTGGGCGAAGCGAGCCAAACGGCAAAATAATGGAGGAAAATTAAGAAAACCTGCGAGCGAAGCGAGCAAGAAGCCAAAAATCAAAGAATTTGCGACTTTGCTATATTTTTTTCTCTATTTCGAGCTCAAAATGGCACTTTTGTATCTGAAAGTGGGGGGGGCGATGCCCCCCCCACCAGATTTTGGGGGGATCAAGTCGCCCCCCCCGCACCCCACTTCCGGCGCCCTTGCACACCGAGCCGATACGCACACCCACATCCACACACTCACACTCTCACACACACACCTACACAGCAACACACACACACACACACACCTACACATCAACACTAACACACACACACCTACACACACACACGCACATCTTGCAGCTGCTCATGTCGCTGCGACTTTCGGAAACGGACGCCGTGGTTTTTACAAAGTGCCTCCCCTCCCACATACAGTCCCACCTAGTCGATCTTGAATAACATGTTCGACGTGTGCGTTGCGTGCATGCATGGATGGATGGATAGGGCGCAATTGGCACCGACATTGTCTGCCTTATCGCGTCGGATTTTTCTATCGAGGGCGGCCGGATGGTAATCTTGCCAGAGAAAAGAAAGACGGGTCGACTTGCTCCTCCCCCCCCCTCTTTTCTTTTCCCTTTGTCTCTAGTTGTTGCGTTATCTGCGCCCGCCGATCCAGCCACCCGCCGCCGCCGCCTCGCCAAAACGCGCTGCAGACTGAGAGTCGTTTTCGTCGCTCTGTCGCTCTCTCGCACTCATGGGGCGGGGCGTCCCGTATTCGGCGCGAGGGAGCGACTCGGCGACGAAAACGACTCTCGGAATCAGTCCGCCGCAAGCTGCGCCCTAGACACAACAAAGTGATGAAATGATCTGTAAAGTGGGTGCCGGACTTTGCCCCCCCCCGCCGCGCTCACGAATCATGATTTCAGCAGCTCATTTCTGTTTTCTTCTAGAATAATTTTGTTTTGAAAATAAAAAAAAATTCTTTTTTCTTTTGTTGTGGTAGTCGGATTCATCCGCCGTCCATGCAGGCCCACTGTGCAATCCGGTGCAATCCTTCATTATCATTGCGCCCCTGGGAGGCCGAATGAGTGTGTGTGTGTGTGTGGGGGGGGGGTTTATCAAATCAATCCACCACGTCGACACGTCGGTGCCACGCCCCCTAAGTGTGGACGTTGTGTGGACTCGAGACCGTCCGAGTCATTTCATTTTTCTCTTTCGTCTCTTTTCATTTCTTTTCTTTTCTCTCTTTCCTTCCTTCCTTTTTCGCCGCCGCGGTTGCAGTGGTGGCGAGACGCGTTGCCGATAAGGCCCGGCCGCCACTACACTTTACAATGAGCGTGTGCGTGTCAAGCACTATCTGCCACCGGGAAGGGCAGCCCGTCCCGCAGCAGGACTCCGAGGGCTCCGCCACGCACAGTGGGCCAGAAGCCGGTGGAGGCGGCCAAAACTCTAGACGCATTTCGAGCTCCAGAGTCTCTAAATGGTGCTTACTCGAACCGAACGTGTTACTGTGACTCCACCAATGGGCTGCTCTCTGAACAAGGAATCCATTGGTGGGGTCGAAGGTTCGGTTTGAGTCCTGTTAAGCGACTCTGCAGCCCAAAACGCGTTTAGAATGTTGGCCACCTTCATGGTCTGCAGATGCCTGACGGCGTTGACAATGACATGCCACCGGTCGGTTCGCCGCAGCCAATGACTGCGCTCCCTTTTGGCGGGAAGACTGCCCCTCGCTGACCGGCGGCTGTCTCGAGTCCCAGCTGCCTTGAGTTTCTCTGTCTCTGTCTGTCTGTCTGTGTGTCTGTCTGTCTGTCTGTCTGTCTGTCTGTCTGTCTGTCTGTCTCTCTCTCTCTCTCTCTCTCTCTCTCTCTCTCTCTCTCTCTCTCTCTCTCTCTCTCTCTCTCTCTCTCTCTCTCTCTCACACACACACACATTCCTGGGACGTCCTTTATAGGTGCGAGAGAGACAGAGCGACGAAAACGTCCCTCGGAATCAGCCTGCTGCCGTGGCTGTGACTGAGGTTCGGTTTTGCAGTGCAGGCTCATTCGGTGTTGGTGCTGCAAGGCCCATCCCATCTTTCAGGCTGGTGGCCGTTATAGACTTTACTCTCTGTTCTGAAGGTGTGGCATTTCGCCCGCGATGTTCTGTGGCGGGGCGGGGCGGGGCGGGGCGGGGCACAGAGGGCAGCGGCACCGCGGACGGCCGCCCTTGAGCATTTTACAACGACGGACTCTGCCAGCTGGTTGTTCGCGCGCGCCACCGGGTCCAAAAATAAACGAACTAAAGAACAAAAATAAAATCGCGATGTTTGCATCTTGTGTGTTCTTCCCTAATTTTTATTTTGACACCGGGACGTCACGAAGTGGACTGTGAACGTGCACAGCGCTCGGTGTTTCGTGACTAAATGCCGTCGTGCCCACTGTATGGATTTGCAGAGTCAGCTCGCTGCCGTGTGGCGGTTTTCGGGGGGGGGGGGGCGATTGCGTAGATGTTGCCTGCCTGCAGTCAAAAATGTCATTTCTTGAATCACAAATCAATGGATGAAGTAAATTATCTTATTGCAAGGAAATTTTCTTGGTTCTAGTTTTAAGAAGGGACATGTTTGCCCATCGGGCGATGTGGCCGCCAATGATGCATGGCGGAGGACTGGTTTCTCTGATTTCGTGCGTGTAGGAATCGAGTAGGAATCCGTTGTGTTCGGCAGACATTTACAGATGCTCGGGTCCAGGATTGCCGCTTTCCAGCGACCGGCATGTTGCTGACTCCGCGACCCGCGCTGCATTCATCTCTAGCCTTTTTGTTGTCGCTGATGTTGTTGTTGTTGTTGTTGTTGTTGTTGTTGTTGGAGGTGGTGGTGGCTTTTTTTCCGTTGTGATATGATGGTGATGGGTGGGATGCAGTTAGCACTTGGCTGTTCGCTTGAACGCCGTCAGGGCGCTGCGCTCGACCTGATCGCGAGAGAGAGGGAGAAGGAGAGGGAGAGAGAGAGAGAGAGAGAGAGAGAGAGAGAGAGAGAGAGAGAGAGAGAGAGAGAGAGAGAGAGAGAGAGAGAGAGAGAGAGAGAGAGAGAGAGAGAGAGAGAGAGAAAGAAAGAAGGGAGTCTTTGCTTTGCACAGCTTATCCTCTCATCAGCTTGCATACGCACGACGCTGCCGGGCAGGGCAGGGCAGAGACTGAGGCACGAGGCTCGGCGGGGCTCCAAGTCCCACGGCCGGCGGCTCACTCTCCTCGACTCCCGCCTCCCTCAGTCCTTTCGTGCGGGTCGAAGGTTCATCCGCGATCAGAGCGACGACGCAGCGACCCCCCGCAAACCGGAACCGTCCACAAACACTGGCAGCCAACGAATGTGACGTCATATTCGTTCGAATGTGAATTTTGTCACGTTCGTTTGAATATGATATCACGTTCGTTTGAATGTTGATCCACGTTCAAACGAATGTGACATCATACGTGACAAAATTTACACTCCAACGAATATGACGTCTTATTCTTTGGCTACCAGCTACCAGTGAAATGGCTCGTTCACTGAAAAAAAAAAACAGTTTGGTATTGGTTCGGAATATGCACGGGAAATGGGGTACGGAAAAAGTACGGTCCTTCCCTAATTGGTTCCTGTGGCCCTCTAGTGCACTCAGGTTTTCACGTTTCGTTGAAATAAGTGGTCGATGGATGGCTCAAAGTCAAGATATGAGCTCCATAAGGGTGCACCCAACCTGTCCCTACTGTTTTCTACGAGTGTTGCGAGGCAAACGAAATTTCGCGCCACTTTGGCTCTGGCAGAACATCGCAGGCAATTTCTCACGTCAGCGCAGAATGTGGCACTTTCCCCTTCAAAAGCGCACAGCGGCGACATCACAAAGGCATTACGGGTCGCCGAAGGCCGAAGGCCTATTCCGAACGGGGCTGCCCCGTCTCTCTCGCACTCGTGTGGCGCTCCGCAGTGCGGGGCCGAGGGGGTGCGAGAGAGACGGAGCGATGACACGTTGGGAACGGGCTCGCTTGCAGTGTGTCGCGCAGTCGCGCAGCGTGAGGTCATTTTCACAGCCTGCCAAAACAGCCGTCCGACCGCAGCCCCGCAGCGCCAGGGGCGGAGAAGGGGAGAACAGGGCCAGGCCCGTTCGAAATTACACACACGGCCCGCGCGCGAGGGGTGACCCACTGTAAAATTTTGTGTACAATGATTGTGTGAATGTGCAAGAATGTGCAAGATTTCTTGCTTTTTTGCCACACATGTTGCCTACTTACAGGCGTTTTTGCCTCCTGAATGTGGAATGTGGTCAAATTTTGTACAACGAATGTGGAAAGCTGTTCCCCCCTCGCCCGCGCGGCCCTCGGCACGGCACGGCACGGCACGGCACGGCACAAACAGGAGGCACGCGCCAAGGTGAAGTTCAAGTGCGGGCCCCGGTGGTCGGCCAGCCTGGTCCTGGTCAATGGTGGGGAGGATAGGGAGGACAGGCCTCAAACCTAA